CGTCATTCAATGCTTGTTTAGGGCCTTGTTCTCAATGAAATGCGTTTAACACACGCTCTAGGACAAGAAGTCACTGATACGTAAGTCGTGAAGCATTAAATTAGCGGTTTATTTGAACTAAGGTGGCGAAAGAGCAAATAACACAAACGATTTTAAGCTATTTGAACTCAAAAAGTATACGCTACCACTCCCCGGGAGTAATAAATTGCGTAGGCAATGCTGAATCGTATATTCCGTAATGAAAGGCACTGATAAGCACAGCATCAAAACTTAAAAACAGTTATAAAATGTAAAAACCTAAATTTGAAAGTAGCTTGGTCATCGACCTTCGGTCCATTTGTGAATACATGCTAAAATCACATTAATGAGAATACATGTCTTACTTAATCGACGACGTCAAAAATCGAATACATAAGATAACTAGAGAAATTCAGACGTCCATAGGGCACTGTATACTGACTTAACAACTATTTTATGCCTTGAAGTCGAAATGACAGTCTGGGTAGATTTTATACCTATTTAATCAGTGACACCAACATAGCTAAGTTCAAGGCTCTTTCACTTAGCCAAGGTTTATAGACGGGCCATCAGCCCTCTTAGTGGGCCACGGATTGTGTACTTTAAGGGCCACTAGATAACATTGATATTAAATAACATTGATAACATTGATATTGAATTAGCAGGCCGGTTTATTTGAACTAAAGCCAATTTTTTTTTCGGCGGGCCACCCTCTTCCCTAGCGGGCAACAGATTGATTTACGTTGGGGCCGCGAGCAAAAGCCGTCACTATGTACAATACGCGATGACGACATTAATATAATGTAAACTGGCCAAGATTTGGCTAATTCAATGTATGTAATGTGTTTATTCCTTTGCATTCGTTTGTAGGGTTTTATTGTCAAAGGTAGTGCCTCTAACAGTGGTTCCCAAAATTGATTGATCGGGGGCCGAAATTGGAAGCGGAATGATATTCGAGGGTCGATAGAGGGATGCGCACGCAAGTGGCCGATACCGGTGACGGTATGTATAATTTAGATACCGGTATACTTGAATTGTTAGGAATATACACGTGCTTTAAATTTGATAATGTCGAAACAATTGCCAATATCTAAAACGCAACAAGAAACAACACGAGAATATCGGTCGGAGACCGAAGACTTATCGATCGAAATTGCGGTTTCGATTCATGACTCTATAGGGACACCGCGTGTCCCATCACTAATTAATTAATAACTTGCTAATTATACGACATAATTCATCCAAAATCAATAGGCTTCTGGTATGAGGTATGATGAATGTACATGCAAAATTGGAGCAGATTCAACCACGCCTTCGTGAGATATCGCGTGCATCTAACAGACAAACAAACAGATAAACAGACAAACAGACAAATACCTATCAACATACTTACCGATTAAAATCGATAAGTAATGAGGTGTCAAACTATTTCATTCAAGTTAGGCGGGCCATATCGCATAGTTACGCGGGCCGTAATTGGCCCGCGAGACGCAGTTTGGATACCACTGGCATAAAAGAATTGAAAGCAACACGGTACTAGATATTATTATTAAAAAGAATATGAAATTTCAAGAATCATTACCACAGGTAAACACACATTACGTTGGTGAAAGAATTTCATGAATAGCGATATGGGTTTATTATCTCATATCACGAGTACACAAAAGGAGTTGTTTACTACGATCACGAGAAAATATTTTTATCATTGTGGGTTCGGTCAACGGAACAAAATACTCCTATCTGGCGTGTCGAGGGCGTTGTCAAAAGTAATATTCAAAATAAACACCCACGCGATAAATCTGACATAGGAAAACTTCGGCCCGCGCGAGCTAAATCCGGCCCGTTCGGTAATTCAATTTGGCCCGCCCGATGCTGCCACAACCAAACTAAAACCAAATTTTGATGTTTTAGCTAAAAAAATTTGTTGAGATTACGATTAAATTTAGTTTTGGCACGAGGATTTATTGTTTTCCACTTTTGCTTTTGTAACACTGTAAATATTGTTCATAAAATGCAAATATTTACGTCACACCTCACATGACCCCCCAATCTAAGTGGGCAAAATTTCGGGCACCTGGTCCAAAATAAACTTTCTCACCCACGCGATAAATGATAGCGTAGTTGTATTTCCATATTATTGTTTCCAAATATTGAGTTAACGCATCATTTTTGGTAAATTGGAGAGATCGAAACGGCGCTGTATCATACATATCAATTATTCGTAGCTTGAAACGATTTTTAGACCTTCAATACCAGGGGTGGGCAACGTCTCTAATCGGCGGGCCAGATGTGGGAAAATGAAGAACTCGGCGGGCAGGATTATTACAAAAAATACTTCGGTATCCAATCTTTGTTAAATGCTCGACACGCTCTGTCAACTTTACGTTTCTTGGGATATTCTATGGTTAATAAAACTTGATATAAAATGTAATTTCTAAAATATTTAGAATCTAAATATAAATATAACTGATAACAGTAGTGGGGAATGTTTACAACGCTCTCTGCTTTGACCTTATATTGTTTGTTTAACAAGTGTGCTAACGCAATTGTTCGTTCACTAAGGCAATTGTTTATTTCACAAGCTCGCACTGACAGCGCGGTGAGAGTAGAGCGATCCGCAACTTTCATGAATGATGCGTCGGACCATATTACAGAGTGTGGTTGGATACAGTCAGCGGGCCGGTCAAAATCTCGTCGCGGGCCGAACGTGGCCCGCGGGCCCTATGTTGCCTCCCCCTGCTCAAGACTCTTGAGTTTAACCTGGTAATTTCAAATCTCGTATATACGTGTTAGCAGAATCACTATAGCTAGCTTCACACCACAGGGGTGTTACCCTGTAGGGTGGGGTTGGGGCACTGAGGATCGGAACTTGGTATGACTTGGCAATTGAAAATTTTATCGTGAATAAGCAAAACTGTTGTTTTGTTTCATCAGAATTTAATGGATCGATGGCGCCCTAGTTATTATAGAACATTGTACCATATTGGCATTGGATTTTGTTTATTTCCTACCAATCATGTCTTTTTACTATTACCATTTAGAAACACTACTAGTTCAAAGTTTAACGATATCCTAGTTTCAATTGCCTATATACAATAGCGTTCTTGTGCGAGGCAGTATCATTATAGATAGGATTAAAGATAAGTACATACTTCGAATATTTTGCCTCCGAGGTGTAAATAAGGTTAAACGTAGGTTTTAACGCCCACACAAAATTTGGTTTGTGAACTCGAAACGGGTGTAATGTGCTAGTTGTTCGCAAGCTTTAATGACGGCCGTGGTTCGCTTTCAAAGTCTAATATGATCGCCGCAGTGTCGAATTTTTTGTTGTCGAAATAAACTTATACTTATTCTAATAGGGTCACTACGACGTCAGAAAAAATTGCGGCTAAATGTTAAATTTTTTACCGAATGGCATATGAAGGTGTGCCCATGAACCAAATGAAATACATCAGGAAATTGGGTATAGCGGCAATGTCTAACCCTGACATGGGCCAAATACAGCCTGTTGGGTAATTCAATCTGACCGCCTGATGCTGCCAATGGCAATGCCAACGGGCCATAGCAGGGTGCGACTCACTGGTATATTGTATTGTATGCCAAACCCGGAGTATTCGGGCTTTCCCAATAACATAGTACCTTCCTAAATATCAGTAAGTCTTTTTTATGGCGTTGTTGAGGGCAAGTGCTTGAAATAAAATTAAAAATGCAACTTAAATTAAAAATAAATACCACGCTATGCAGCTCAGATACACGCTTCGTATTATCTCGGCCTAATCTTCAAATAAAAACCAATACGTAATGCCAAGAACGAAAAATAGTTTGAATTCTTCGGAGATTTATTTCTGAATGATAGATCACCGTCAAGAGATAATTAAAAACACCGGAAGGCTACATTTGTAAAAACAATAGGGATTTCTTCAGCCATCTTGTGTTCAATTGCAACCACACTTAATCTTTCAGGTAACATAGTAATTAAACAGTTTTGATAGCTTTTTCTATTGTGGAAAACGAGCGGCCAATTAACTGTATATACCGCGTTTTTTAAGCTTTTGCTTTAAGCCAGGAGTCTGCAACCTGCGGTCCACAGAGAAAAATGTGCGCGGAGAAATGCCAATTTTGAATGGTGCGTTGCCCGGGAAATGAGTTTTAATTAATTTTAATCTGATACATGTGAGCAATTCCAATTCTCATGCGTTACAAAGCATATTTCTGAGTCTAATTCATTATCTATGTCTATGAGGTTACGATGCCTTTTTTGTGCCTGCAACTACTAGAAAGCCGATGTTAAATAAAGCTGCGGCCCGCGGTTTTCACACAGTTATGTACCTGGCCCTTCTGTATTAAAGGTTGCACACCACTGCTTTAAACAATGCTCTGTAAAAGTAGCCGTCGATAAGTACGAATAAATTTTTGTAATTAAACACTTTAGCACCCCGAATACGATCAGGTTATGTAGAAGATTCATTGCCATCAAAAGCAATTTGTATTTTTTCAAACTTTACAACCAGTTCAACAAAACTCATTCAGACACATTGATCGTTAACTCGTAAGCTCCTTTCTAAAAATACTTCGCGCTTTAAATTTAAACATACAGACACACTAACTGTTAACCCAGAAACCCTTTTCAATAATATTTCGCGCTATAAATTTAATAAATACTTCCACCCTTTGCCTTCTTTATATTTTTCCCTAGGCTTTTACACTACATTCAGCAAAACACACACAGAATTATTGATTGTTAACTCGTAAGCCCGTCCAAAAAAAAAGTTGCGCTACAAATTCAAAGAATTTTTAACTTTTCTAAGCTCTTATTACCTTTTAAGAAAATACGTACAGACACATTGATTGTTAACTTGCAATCACTCCCCAAGATTAGTTCGCGCTACAAATGTAAATATTCTACACATCATACGGACACATTAATAAGTCGTTCATAAACCCTTTTGAAATGACTTCGCGGTACAAATTTAAACACATACCCGTTGCCATCTTTTTATTTTTCTCTATGCTTTTACAATTCCAACTTCAAATATTTCGTCTTCAAATATTTCTTCATCCGTTTGTCCTTTATCTCATCTCAGCACCGTTGCCAGAACTTTGCTATATAATTAACCAAGTTATATCCATGGAAATTTGGATAACTAGTATATATTAGGCTGAAACATACAAAGAAAATGAAATGAGATTCTAAATCGAATTGAAAATTCGAGGTAGCCAATTTACTGAGTGAATAAAAGTTACCTCGAACTCATAAATAATGTCTGAATTATCGCGTTGTTGCCACATTTCGACGCTACCGTTGTTAAATTTTATTAATGCCGTTATTACATATCGATTTTAATCGGTAAGTATGTTGATTGGTGTTTGTCTGTCTGTTAGATGCACGCGATATCTCACGAAAGCGAGATAGAATCTGCTCCAGATTTTGCATGTGCATTTATCATATGTCGGACCAGTAGCCTATTGATTTTGGGCAAATTATGTAGTATAATTAGCGAGTTATTGATTAATTAGTGATGGGACACAAGGTTTCACTATGGAGTGAGAGCGCTGTTTTGGGGATCCCCTAACTTTCGATCGATAAGTCTTCGGTATCTGACCGATATTCTCGTTTCTTCTTTGAACAATTACAAAATCAGCCAAATCAGTATTTTAATATGTAAACGAATAGCTTGCAGAGCCTCTACGTTTTCCCTCTAAGGAGCCTTGGGCTCCGTATGAAGTTCTTGGAGAATGTATTAAAATATAAAGTAAGAGTTATGGTAAAACCGAAAGCTCAGACATTAGTCTTCTCGTAAATGGTTCCAATAAATACCCATTAGTGCGAAAATTTCGAAAACAAATTTTCTAAATAGGGTAAATACGTCATATTGCTTCTAAAATGTCCAGTTTTGCATATATTGGCTCAGATTAGGTGATTTCTAATCATTTTCATTATTTATGTAATATGTATCTATGACACAATAATTGATTTCAAAAGACCAATGAAGCGTGACATTGCTTGTTTTGTAATCTCAAATTATTCTAACTCACGGCAAAATAATGGCGGCTATCAGACTAAGAATCGTATTTTTATAATAGATAAGTAAGTTATACTTTTGCTCGGAGCAATGTCCCGAGTCCGCAACTAAAAGCGGAAAGAGCGCTAATATAGGAGTTGCAAGTTTGCTCAAGGCAAGGTACTGAAACTCAACGAAACGAAAAGTGGAAAGAGTACTGATAGAAGAGTTGCAAGTTTGATCAAAGCAAAGTACCGATTCCCCAACTAAACGTGGAAAGAGTAGGCTATACTGATAGAAAAGTTTCATGTTTGCTCAAAGTTAGCTCCTGATCGCCCAACTCAAAGTGGAAATAGTACTGATAGAAGAGTTGCAAGTTTGCTCAAAGCGAGGTCCCGATTCCCCAACTAAACGTGGAAAGAGTACTGATAGAAGAGTTGCAAGTTTGCTCAAAGCAAGGTCCCGATTCCCCAACTAAACGTGGAAAGAGTACTGATAGAAGAGTTGCAAGTTTGATCAAAGCAAAGTCCCGATTCCCACACTAAACGTGGAAAGAGTAGGCTACTGATAGAAAAGTTTCATGTTTGCTCAAAGTTAGCTCCTGATCGCCCAACTCAAAGTGGAAATAGTACTGATAGAAGAGTTGTAAGTTTGCTCAAAGCGAGGTCCCGATTCCCCAACTAAACGTGGAAAGAGTACTGATAGAAGAGTTGTAAGTTTGCTCAAAGCAAAGTCCCGATTCCCCAACTAAACGTGGAAAGAGTAGGCTACTGATAGAAAAGTTGCATGTTTGCTCAAAGTTAGCTCCTGATCGCCCAACTCAAAGTGGAAATAGTACTGATAGAAGAGTAGTAAGTTTGCTCAAAGCTAGGTCCTGATCGCCCAACTAAAAACGGAAAAAATACCGATAGAAGGGTTGCAAGTTTGCTCAAAACAAGGTCCCGAGCTCTCAACTAAAAGTGGTAAGAGTACTTACTGATAGAAGGGTTGCATAATTGTGTGTACCAATATGAAGGTAACTAATTTTGTTCGCCTACTTTACATCAAGTTGAGGGACGGAAGCTTATGGGCAGGGGGTATATTCACTTGGCCAACACAAACTTAAAATTATGGCTAATAACCTGGTACACATACTACGGGAATACCCTGATAGAATAGTTGCTAGTTTGCTTAAAAACAAAGCCCCGAGCCCTGAACTAAAAGTCGAAAACGTACTGAAAAGTTGCAATCGAGCGTTAGGCGTGCTATACGCTGCATTACGTAGGAGTTGTCAAAACTTTTTGATTAATGCGCTTTCAACCTTCACGAAACCGCAAGAAAGGAAATATTCAATCAGAGTTTCGTTTTCAGATATTGCTATTCTATACCTGCGCCATGTTTTGTCCAAACTTGTCCGTACTACATTCGATAAAATAACTAGTATAGATCGTTTTATACAGTTTTATTTTTATTACTCGCGCCGTACGATGTCCAAATTTTATACCGTCGTTATGGCGGTAGCGGTTCAGTATATGCGAGATATATTACCATACTGTTAAAAAAAATCAGGAAATTTTATTGTTCTCACAGCCGATGCAATAACTCCGGGGCTGCTGTTTAATGCTACTGAGTTATAATACCCATTCTGATCAAAGAAGTTAAAATGTATATTTTGCGTAAAGATTTTGTTTTTTTCTGTAGTTTTGCATAAAAATATCAATATGCCACAAAATTTTTGTGCAATAAAAATGGGTCACGAAAGAGAAAAGCTTGAGACTTACTGCTCTGCACAAAGAATGGCGAACAAAAACACAATCCTATATGATATCCTTCGGGGTTCAGAACAATCAGTAGAACCCAAATGGCGCTCCATAAGTATGTGTACCACAATATGGAGGTAACTAATTTAGTTTGTTTACTTTACATCAGGTTGTGTAAAGGAACTGAAACTTATGGGCAGGGGTATATTCACTTGGCTAACATAAAACAGTCGCGGAACTCGTAATATAACTAAATAAGGGATAATCGGAGTAAAATCATGGCCCAACTCTAACCTGGTACATACACTACGTGAGTACCCAAATTTATGCAATGACCTAACAATATAGGCTTGAATGGTTTTTTGTTAACTCAACCGTTTGGCGCCGTTCCAAACTACTCGAAGCAAAACAGCGGGGTGCCATTCAGTAATGTCCAAAGTACAACGCTACGATTTGCGCTAAGAACATCTGACAATATGAATATAAGAGAAATACATTACGGATTTATATTAGAAATGATTTGCCGTTACTCGTCCAAATTTTCTGACATATTCCAGAGAGAACATAACTTTTGGGCAAAGCGTCCTGGATTGATGAAACTTTTGGATACAATCACAAACAACCAGTGGTGGAATTCAAATTTTTTTGTCAGTCGGTTCCTTCACAAAAATCATATTTTTCAGCCGGTTCTGTTACAAACAGAAAATTGACAGTAACCAGTAATGCTAACCGGTTCGCTGATCTCATAAAATTCCGTGAGACGGTTCTATAGAACCGGTGCGAACCGGCTGAATCCCACCACTGCATTCAAACAAAACTTTATAGACTCACCATAATTTATACAAAAATCGCACATGAAAACTCTATTACCTAATTCAATATAGGACTTTACGAACACCACGGTCTATGTATATCCCCAACACCTCACATTCATTTATGCCTTACTAGCATGGAGGAACCCAGGAGAGTGAGATGTAAAAAAATCATTCTTCTGTATCAAACATAGCAATTTTTCGTAGCTTGAACGCGTTTCAAACTGTCATGACCCTTGAAACCAAGCCGGACTGGCTATCTGTTACAGTCTAGCTTGTTAATTATTGTTGGCTTCGCCTCTGTGCTAACCTTATAAACAGGCTAAAGGACTACAAAAAGCAATACTACATATACTACATAAATTATATGCTGTCGAAGAAGTAATTTCTCTGTGACGTTCAGACCACAGGCCTCGATACCACATCAATACAAAGTTGAAATCTAATATGCATGGAATTATTAGAGGAGAATTTGCCTGCACTTGGCTAAGGTTTCCAAAATATTTCAAACTTGCTATGACTCAGTGGTTCCCAAACTCATTCGTTGATTTTCCTTCCTTTTCCTATTTTGGATCTTTTTATCTCTCCCTGGCTATGCGTATTCCCAGTATTTATTAATTTTTTTACCGCAGACAATTATTGGAGGGGGAGGTAAGCGAATACAGGATTCTTAGCAAGTACGATGCGCAATTCACACTATAACTTTTGCATAGTTCATAATGTATGCATAAAAATAGGATTCACATATTTATCTTGGGAGAGAGGAGAGCCGATAAGACGGTTTATTCATTTGGCGAACCCCGGCCTCTTACCCGTTTATCAGTACTTTTCGGATATGGAATTACTTAGTTATTTGTTTTCGGAAGCATGGACTTGATTAGAGTAGTAGTAATGGTAAAGTACTAAAGGAGATTAGTAATACTTCAGCAAATACAGAAATAAATTCCACCCCAGGAACAAAAAAATTTGTCTCTGGGAAGTATGTTTTCCCAGCTGGGTAACTTGGTGATCGTACATTTGAACCCATGTGTATATCCGCGGGTTAACTTTGGTGTATGCGAATACTCTAATCCGTCTGTATGACAATTTTTCTGCAAAATCGGCGCTGAAACTAAATTCAATCCAACCGGTGTCGATGTGGGAAGAACCCCGTCTCAAGGCCGACAAAATTTGTTCCGATTCCGAGGAGAATTTCTCCCACGATTGGGGTAATTTCTCCCCAGCTGGGAAACGTGGGGCTAACGCATGGGTTCTCAATAAGCGATACCTGATGTTTTTCTTTTCTATTCAACACACTTGTAATAATCTGTTAATATTTGACCGTTGAAAAGGAGAAAAGCCAAGAAAAAACCTTGAAGAATAAATTAATTTTGTCAACATCAAATTACGACAATTAAGAATTTTACATTTCATGTACATTTATTTAATGGATGCTATACTTAAGCTTGTTTTTGTGCATATAATCTATCCCAACGCGACAGAATATTCGGGGCTCCCGAAGTATGCGAACCAAGATGGCGGACATCGGAATGTAATATGTGTACTAGGTTAGGGTTAGGCCATAATTTTAGGTATAAATACTACGGATGGCTCTTGGCTAGTCTTC